CATGTCAAACAAGATTGTCGTCTTTATAAAAGAGACTTAGAAAATGATGATGTATATCCTTCGAGAGCGAGTAGTCCGAATCGACGAGATAATAACTCGAATCATTTCAACAATCAACAAGCAAACGAAAGTGTAGCTTATCCACAACCTTCGACGAATCTTAGTAATTTTTGTGTAACATTGAATGAGTCATCAAATAATACAGATTGGAGTTTTGGTAATCTAATCAGAGCAACTGTCGTTATGAATAAGATTCCAATTGAAGCCGTTATTGATCCTGGAGCTCAAATCACAATCATTGACGCCAAAACCTTTGCTAAATTGAACACAACTCTATCAAATTATGATGGACCCGTCGCTTTTAATGCTTCTGGATCAAGGTTATACCCATTAGGCCAATGTAAAGTAACAATCACTTTTATAACTCAAGATAAATCTACTTCTGTCATTGTTTTGTGTATGGTTGTTAAAAATCTTGTCGATGGTATCTCAGTTTTAATTGGACAAAACGCAAATACACCTGCTCGAGTTATTGTTGATACACACAATGGACGAATCAGTTTAGGAGATGAAATTGAAGTAAAGTGTTTAACTAAAGAAAAAATAAATGATGTTGTCCAAGACGATTTCACCCAAACAGAGATGAAAGAAAATAAAGCTTTCGATGAATCAACACCATCAATTTTACAAAACAATAATCTAATGGAAGCATTAACAGCAATGGTATCTAAAAGAGTCACTTTTGATGACAAAGTTGTGGTCATTCCTTTTAAAACCCAACCAACCAATGACAATGAAATATCGAGGTCACCACAGAGTAATGTAAAGAGTCAGGAAAATTCAACTCCTACTAGTAATCAATTCCACAGTCTAGTTTCTCTCTCACCTGAAACGAAGAGACGAACATTTCCGTTTAAAAATTCTGTTCAAGTGTTTCTCACCTCGCTATGCATAGCAAGTGTAACAGCAAATTTTGATTACATTGATTCAATCCTCCATTCGAATTTGGACCAACGACTTGAACTTTATGGAAATAATAGTGCCTATCCTATCTGTACTTTGGAAAATTTCACCAGTGAAAGGTTTTCACCTTCAGGCTCCGAGCAAAATCCCACTAATTCGTCAGACTTTTGGATCTTTAATTTGTTTCCTATAACTGTGAACATTTGGACATTATTCTGGGCTTACCGATTTAAGAGAAAACGAAAGGACCCAACATAAAGATCGTTCAAAATGGATCCTGATGAATGGCCTCTATTAGTGCTTGATCCCTTCGTATCTTTGATTTAATTTCGTTTTTCTATTTCTTTATTTCTTTTGCTTTTATTCTTGAGTTCGGTATAAGGTCGAGTTAAAAGGTTTTGATGATTGAATACAATAGATTATTACGTTGAATGTTTATTTTAAGAATGGGAATTTTATTTCTAGAATTGGACAAATTAGATGAAAATGTTCATTAAGATTTAGTTCATGTGAACTAGAAGATGTTTATCGTTGGAGTTGATAAACTTTCCTCAATTAGTGATATTGAGAAGATATATAACACTGCGAGTTGTTATGAATGTTCATTTTGTCAAGTTTGATTACAAGAAAGTGCTTTTCTTTTTGCTTTAAGTAAAAATCTTTGTATTCATATAGAATTTTACAATTGACGACTGAGGACAGTCTTCCAGAAGGTCAGGGTATTGTGATAATCACAAATTGATTAAAAAATTAAACAATTAAATCAATCACAATTAACAATCAGCAATTAATTATTGATTGTTAATTGTGATAAAGTTAATGATGATGATTAAGATGATCATGTTGATGATGATGACCAGGTTGGGTGGTGGCTCATTAAGCCTCAACAACAACAACAGACAACAACAATCAACAATTTACCAACAATTAACAGTAACAATAACAGTAACAGTAACAGTAACAGTAACAGTAACAGTAACAGTAACAGTAACAGTAACATCATCAACATCATCTTGTCATCATCACCTCCGCCAAGGTATTGGTTTTTCTTTCTCTCTCTTTCTATTTTCTTTTCTCCTTCCCTTCTCCCATTTCCTTGGACTTAATTGTCGGGTAGTCCGACTTTGAGTTCATTCCTTTCCCTTATTATTACTTTGGTTAAAGTCGGGTAGTCCGACTTTAACAAAGTTGTTCTATGACCTCCTCAGATAGTCGAAATTAACTAGGTCAGGTAGTCTGACCTGACGAGGTTATGCCCTTCTTTCCTTTCTTTCTTTTCTCTCTTTCTCTCTTAGTAAATATTGGTTACTAAGGTAAATTGATTAAGTTAACTAATCATGTAGAATGATTAATACCTTGATAATCACATGTAAAAATCTGACCTTACTGATTCTCATGAATATTACACCGAACTCTATGAATCATATTTAATCTCCAATCTTAATTATTATTAATTATTCAATTATTGTAATTCCCTTTATCTTAATGTAATCTCAGTTAATTAATTGTTCTTAGGTGGTCAATTCGACGATTAACTCTCTCTAATTCTCCCGAATTTTCCAAGAAAAGGTATAAAACTAAATTGTTCTGATAGAAGAAACCAGAGACCAGAGAAGAATAATTATCATTAACTCTCACCCACAAAGTCCATTAATTATTCTGTTTAACTTTATGTACCGTTTTATTATTCACTGTGTTTCGACATTAAAGTTCATTTAATCAAGAAGATCACTTTTTACTTTCAACATTGTGTTCGTCATAATTTTATATGACACTATCATCATTGAATAAATTAGTTGGTTCATATCAATTCAGTTAAATATCATTAGAATATTCAATTGAATCAAATGTTTATCATGTAATGAAAATGTTTCAACAAGTTCGAGCATCGGATTAACATAACAAAAACGTGAAACTAAATGCTGAGAATTCAGTTCAACGATATTGAGTAAATCTTGTTACTATTAATTAACATAATTCCATGTTCATTAATCATGATAAATTTACAAGGAATCGTTTCGTTTTTTTCCGATTCAATGTTCTGTTATTATTCACCAATTATTTTCCCATTTATTTTGATAAATATTGATTGGATATTAAATGAATATAAGTGGATAAGATTAACATTTTCCAAAGCCAATGAATACCTTTGGGATTTATTTGGTCTATCAAAAGATTTCATTGTCTAAACTTTGATTATAGTCATTGAATGAAAACATCACCATGAAAACACCATGATAAGTGTTAAGCTTAAATATAAATTCAGACTGAATAATGAAAACAAAAAGTTCAGGGTTCATGATATAAATATAAAGGAAAATCACAATTTTTCAATGTTTCATATATAAAATTAATTCTAATGATGTTTAGTTTTTGATTTTCATGATAATGTGAATGACAGTTAAACTTTCATGACTGTTTCTGACAATCTCAACAATTGAGACTTATTTTCATTCTGTATTACAATTGCTACAGATAACCACTTTGATCATGATTAACAATCAATTGTTACATTTTTGGATTAAATGTTTTAAATCAAAATCTTATTCTGGTGAAGTAATTTGTCTTTTTTTTGTTCTAATAACTTTTTCTATCCAATTTAATCCGTATCATTGTTAATCTTAACGAAAGTGTCAAACTTATTCTCAATGCGACTACTCAATAGACACAATTGGAATTGCATAGAAAACGATGACTTCTTTTCCCCAACGAATTTCAAAATAATCCAATGGGAGAAAGATAAACAACACATCTCGATTGATGTTCACTTTTAGGCACCAAGAATAAGATGTAAACTTTGTCCAATTAATTTGGAGCCAAGAACTTGGGATGAAGTGAGTTCACCGAGGTAAATGTTATGAGAAAAGGGAAAATAATAGAGATCGTAAAGATATTTTATCATGTATCAGTTTCATTGTATTCCAAGTACAATGAATATAAGAGGAAAGGAAGTGAAAGTTTCATATAATAGTTGAAACGGTTTGAGTTTTATGAACAAAGTTTCAGTTCGTTTATCAGATGATAAGCTATTCCTTTAGCCTAATCTACTTATTCGCATACAAAATTAACTTTATCTCTTAGATTATCATCATCGGATCTGTGAGAAGCACTTGAATATAATAATAAAAAAGTAAAATAATAAAGTGAAAATCTTATTCCAAATTTAAGTTCAATCAAGTATCATGTTTCCAGATAATCAGAATCATCTATTACCTTGATTTTAATCATGAAAATTGTTAACTAAAATGAAAATTTCTCTTTCGCTTCGCTATGATATTGAATAATAAATATCCTAATGATCATCAGGGAATCTGGAGTAAAATAATGAATAGTTTTGGATTATCAGAAGTTATCAAAATAGCAAAACTTCAAGTAAAATCAAGATGATCATGTTATCCAGCATCATGCTGTTCATCATGTTTGCAGAATCGTAATTTTTGTTTCATTGTTATTATTATTGTTATTGTCCAATGAGAAAAGATTTCCTCAAAGTCACAACAACAACAACACAATTGAGTCTCTTTTAGATTTTCTGATAAGTTAAATTCATAAGAGAATTGAAGAAACAATCAGTATACAGATATATTCATGATGATAATGATCAGCATCATCATGGAATCAGGGATCACTCAAAATGATCCACTTTCTTTTGGGGCAGATTAAAGTTCAAGTTTTTCAATGAAATTCAATGAGACTCTGATGAATTTAACCTTAACATTTCCTGAGGTTTATTTTTTTCTCATTCATCTTTTGTCATTCATGGTGAAGCTCAGAATTTTTTATTATTAATATTTATTTTTCTTCTCAGTGGGAAGAAAGTACAATAATAAATAAAGAAGAAGAAGGGGAAAAAATAAAAGATTCACCGATCATGATACTCAGACTCATCACTTTTCAAATTCAACGTTCACATCCTGGTTTAACATTCGAGTCAAATAATGAGACCATGATAATGATTCAATTGCAGGAATGAATAAAGAATCACAAATCTTTTTACAAACAAAGAAATTGTGAAAAAAATATTAGAGGTAACTTACTTTTCCCATTGACAATGAGTTGTTGATTTTACAGAATCAATAATCAAGAATCATCATGATGATTTTCAGAGGTTTTCTTTTTTTTTCCTTCCACCCAAAATTGTAAATATATCCCAACCATTAACTGCTTATTGTTGATCCATGAAATCAACGCAACATGGAATCCCCTGAATTCTGCTGGTAAACCTTAGTATTTTTGCCATCCTATCCATCATGTTTTCTTCATCTTCTTTTCTCATGGTGATCACAATTTTCTTGGAAGATATATATACATGTATATGTATAAAATTTAGAACTGTGTTTATCCAGTTGGCAGAATCAGTTTGGACAATTTAATTGTTACACTCTGTTCAACAGTAGATTTAACATTTTGCTTGATTTCCAACAAAAGAAATGAATGTTATTTATATATACTTAGAATGTGAAAAAAAAGTTGGTAATCAAAAGTTTCAACTGTTATCATGTTTTTCATGGAAAATGTAATTTTCATATGTATATAGAATGGACTGATTTTTTGCTCTTCTTCTTCTTCTTCTTGTATTTCTATCGTTGAATTTCAAGAGGAATCTCTTCAACTGATGTAGCATTCTGATGATGAGATTTTGTCAAATTACCATTACTCTTTATCCTTGATCCAAGATAACCTACGAATAAGAATTGAACCAAGAAAAAACGATAAATACTCAAACAACAGAGAACAACAAGTAATAGAATATAACCAAAATGTTCAATAGAAAATGTTTCAACTACATTGATACATGATAATACATGGAAATATTCATAGACTGAGAGAGAGAGAGGATTAAGTTTAATTAACCAGAAAATTGTTTAGAAAACCAAAAAGTATCAAATGGAAAAACTCAAATAATAATGATGGAAGGAAAAAAAAAGTTCTGTACACTCAAAGACTCACAGGGAAATTTAGATAATCATTTTTCATGGTAACAGGTAATTATCGTAACTCGGATCAAGAAGTTCAATGTTATTCATTGTTATTTTCACGAATTTGTTGATTGTTACTCTCACCTATTTTCTTTTAATAAAAGATTATGTTAATTTTATCTCACCAGAATTAAAGTTTAATTAAATTCTTTGTATTAGTTTAAAAGTTGAGAGAAATTGATAACATTCTTATTAGAAGATTAGAAAATAATAACATATTCTCAATGTTATCATCTGAATTGTTCAGTCTTTTTGAAGATAATTATTTTCTGTCTCGAGTTTTATATCAAAATTAGAGTAATACAAGTAGATTGTTGTTTTAATCATAAGAATTTGTTATTAATTCATTGATAACATCAGAATCAATGTTGATGATAAAAAAAAACAAAGTTCTGATTATGTAGAAACCTAATAATTGATTATTGTTCAGTTTCTATTAATAGTTTAACCCAATTGAATCAATTGGATTGGTAATCTTTTTTTTCTGGCTGCTTATTATTTCATCACTTGGACTAACAATTACTCATGATTTCCATGAAATGGTTAAGAAAAACATACAGATACATATCCACACGATTCATGTTGAGATAATCATCCTCATGAACAATTTAATATCTGAAAGGGATGATTAGTTATTATCTAAATACTTACATTTGAGAGTTGCTCCTTTTGATGAAAGTGCCGATGTTGATGATAACATGAAATCAGGCTTACAGGTATTCTTGATAAAAGGTAGGAAACGGAATATGTATTTAAATCCTTCACGGAAACGGGTATTCATCCAACAATAGATTATCGGATTACAGCAAGCATGTGACATGGCTAACCAGTGGCAGGCAAACCAAACATAAATGATATGAGGATATGAAAATATATCCGGATAATTGTCACCAACAACAATGAAAGTATTAAATGGTAGCCAACATAATGTGAACGCTGTCACACATGTTATCATCATTTTAATCATCTTCAATAGTAATCAAAGACAGTCAATTATCATGATGATAATTATTGTTGATTGGGAGAGAGATAGAGAAGTAAAAAAAAAAAATTAGCAACAGTAATTAGATTAGAGTATGGTTAATATCAATAAGCAGAATTGATAATGATGACCAGGAAAATAAGTATATCCTTAGACTCTGAAGATTCTGAACTTCTTGACTCGTATGACAATAATTATAGTAACTTGACCATGGGAAAAGTTTATCAAATTAATTTACTAGACAGAATCAAGTAAAATCTGATTAAATATCATATTCTCATAATTCTTAGAATTTTTTTTTCTTCTATTCTTTTCTTGTCATAATCTCCTTTAACAGCGTATTATTGTTCTGAAAGATGACAGAGAGAGAGAGAGAGAGAATCTAGTCAAAGAATTGATTATTCCAACTGATTAAAATGAATACACTGATTTTCTGGATTTGAAATCTTAATCTAAAGTAAAAGAAACTAATACATCATCATAATAGTTGCGATATTTTTTTGACATGAAAAAAATGCTGAGCTTTACATTAAAATTTCACTTTTTTGGCTGATATTTTCTCATGAACCCTCATGAAAATATTCAAAAGTTTAATCATTGATACTTATTATTATACATTAAATCTGATTCCGATTCTATGGTGAAAAAAAACTTATAATTAACTTTTATCCTGTTTTTCTGGATACAAAATGAAACATTTCATCTGAATAGTGAGAAAAAAATATTACAATTTCCATGTAATTTGAATTTCATGAGCCATAAATCAAAGTGGATAAATGTTAACTTATCATCTGAATATTTAATACAAATCAAAAGAATTGAAACTTGATAATAGTTTCATCAATTGGGTGTAAATTGTTGATCAATACTCTAAATAAATAATTAGATAACAATTAGCAGAATCGATAATAAAAGTTAAATAACATTCTCATTGATAGAGAATTAGAATTTTTATTCTCAATAGATAATATGAGAATATCATCAAGAGACAATCACCTTAATATCGATGATGGGAAAAGTAAGATATTATTATTAAGTTTACACAATCGATTTGAAGTTCAAGTGCTGAGATAATTGATTGAGATAAATTTATTATCGATAATAGAAAATATTTCTAATATCTTAATGTATTAGGTTGAATATGGAACTTACTTTTCGTTTAGATGCAGCTAACCTTTTATCACGAGCATCTTCCGCTTCCCCTGGGGTGGTTTTACCCCAAACAACGATGGCAATTCGTGTATATGTGTACAAAAGGACAACGAATGGAAAAAAGTATTGTAAAATCATCAAAGCTAAACTGTAAACACTTCGATATTTGGTACTAGCCCAATCTTCCGTACAGGTATAACGATCGGTAATATTGTTCTCAGTCCAAACGGGAGGAATAACAAGTTTCGATACAATCGCTGTGGGTAAAGGTGTAATCAAGGCCACAATCCAGATAGAAAATATAATCAATTTGGCTTGATGTCGAGTCATTTTGGGTCTTAATGGGTAAAGTATCGCAAAGTAACGGTCAATTGAGATGGCGATCAGTGTATAAGCTGAAATAAACACCGAGGCTGCTTGTGAGTATGAAACAAGAACACACATGAAAGCACCGAACGGCCAATATTGTAGTAACAAGTTGGAAACAAAAGCAAACGGTATACACAATGAGGCCATTAGTATATCACTTATGGCAAGATTAACGATAAAATAATTAGTCACTGATTGCATTCGTCTATGAGCCAATACAATGAAACACACGATCGCATTTCCTGAAATCGCAATGACACAAATGCTTATATAAGAAAAGTACATGAGTATCTGTTGATTAACAAGAAGAAGAAGAAAAAAAAAGTAACCAGGTAACTTTCATGATAATTGAATCTTTGGAAATTTATTTACTCACTTGAACAAATGGATTCATCATGTTGCTTGATTTATTATCAACTCATCACCGGCAATTGAAAAGTTTTATTCCCGTCGAGTACAAATTGATAAACTTCATTTTAATTTCGATTCAAGTCCTCACTCTATTAAACTCTATGTTCAGGATAAATGTTTCACCTAAGGAACTTTTTCTTTCTCTCTCAGAGAGAGAGAGAGGGAGAGAGAGAGAGAAAAGTTCATGCGCTATTTCATCATTTTCATTAACTATTTTACATTTTTCCCGAATTTGCGATTGTGCAGATTACAGAGTGTATAAGTCAATTAGAACACGATAATATCTCAACTAAATCATGATCCATGTCATAGATTTTCATCTCAATCCTTTGATCACATTATAAATGAATAATAATCAAATTACATTTTAATTGCTTCAACTGATAGGATTATCTTTTGATTAGACAAAATTGGTGAGATTATCTATTCGGACATTACGATTAACAGTTGACTTCATTAGAACCAATCACTTAAATTATTCCTATTAATAGTTATCGATTATACTTGTTAATCAAACTTTAATTTCTATGGTATGAGAAAGCAGAATGTTTTTAATTGTAATTAGTTGTAACAGTGTTAAACTTGATTCTAAATTGTTATTTGATAAAATGATAAAATCACATCATGATTAAGTTAATAGTAATTTAGATAAATGGGTAATAAATTGAATCAACTCGATAAATTACATTTAATTACCATTATCTTAACTATTATTGGTAATAATTAATGTATAATAGAGACATGGGAATCCTTATTATCGTTTATTAATCATAATTAACTGATGAAATTAGATGACAAATATGATTGAAATTTTGTGCTTTTCTGTTCATATCATAAACAAGATGATATCATTAATATTAGTAACTAATAGAATCCCTTTGCCTTAATCCAACTTGAGATAATCTAATCCTGGTATAACTTAAAGATTTCTATTGATATCAACTTCAAATTCAATTTAATCTCCTTAATCCTCGAACTTGAACTTCTCAATCAGTCAAATCGAGAGAAATGAACTGTCACAATCTCTATCTCCTTTAAACACTAATTGTCAACCTTTTTCTCTAAAAGCAATTGACAATTTAGAATTTGATTTAGAAAAGACTTGCTAAATTGTATCGAATTGCTTAGTAGCCACAAACAATTAACTTCAATTCTATTTCCTCCTTATTTGTTATATTGTAACATAGAATCTGAGGATAATATTTAATTGTGTTAATTGGGTTAATTATGTTTCTTTGATATCATTTTGTTACCTTAATCAATTATCTTGATTGTGTTTTGTTGCTTTTCCAAAAGCATATAAATTGGATAGCAAATAATTTACACTTTTTATATAAAGTTTGTTGTAGACAAAAATTTGTCCATTTCAATCTGATTGTACTTATTTCTGTTTAATTGTTACTATTAAATTGATCATCATCATGAGTGACTTATGTTGTAAACTCAAACGTGTCTCTCCTTATACCGTTGAACTTGGTGAAGGTCCACATTACGATGAGAAAACTGGTCGATTGTATCATGTTGATCTAGTTAAAGGTGGATGTTATTACCTTGATACGAAAACAGGAACATATGAATCAATATATTTCGCCCCTGGTTTAACTTTAATTGTTCCAATTGAAGGTAAAAAGGATAAATTTGTCATCACTCAAAATCAGTCACTTTTCTCATTGGACTGGTCAACAAAAGGACTTGAGTTTATTACTTGTGTCGATTCGGGTCAAGATACTCGGGTTAACGATGGTAAATGTGATTCTAAAGGTAGACTCTGGTTTGGTACAATGAATTGGGAACGTAAACCTGGTTACTTTGAACGTGGTATTGGTAATCTTTATCTAATTGATTCTGATCGCAAATTGACCCGGAAACAAGATAATCTAACCATTTCCAATGGATTGGCCTGGTCATCTGATAATAGAAAATTTTTTTTCATTGATTCTATTGAACGTCAAGTTTGGGCTTACGATTATGACCATGAAACTGGAAATATAAGTGAGTAAAGACAGAGAAAGAAAGAGAGAGATAATAAACTGTGAAATGTTATTTTTATGATCTAAAACAAGAGCAATTAACTTTTAATTATCTACAGGTAATCGTAAAACTTGTTTCGATTACAATGGTTTACCTGATTTCGTTTCCAATGAAGTTCCTGATGGTATGACAATTGATTTACATGACAAACTTTGGGTAACTTCATTTAATGGTGGAAAGGTGACTCGTTTCGATCCGGAAACAGGTAAAGTTCTTGGTATAATTAAAACCCCTGCAAGTAAAACAACTTCGGCTACATGGGGTGGAGATGATTTTCGAACTCTCTATTTAACATCGGCCACTTTTGGTGCTTCGAAAGAGGAACTTTCTCTACAACCCGATGCTGGTGCCGTTTTCTCGGTTACATTTGAACAGGAAAACATTCGTGGCTCAAAAAATCATTCATTCAAACTTAATTGAAAATGAAAACTATTTACAATAATGATAAAAATTCAATTTCATTTCACTACAAAAAGAAAATCAAAATTTTGAAAAAAAAACTTTTCTCGAAATTAGTTCATTTCGATTCCAATAGATGGCAGCATTTTCGCTTCGAAAATGACGAAATTCATAACCAGCGCCATCTGCTGTTTTCGAAATGTACTAATCGGGAAAAGTTTTTTTTTTCTAATCTGTAATTTAATCTTAACAATCAGTCAATTAATAAATGAGAATTGAAAACATTATTAATTACATGTCAATAAAGGATGTAAATCGATATGAAAATGTAATTGATATGTATCAGTATTCGGGGGTGGGGGTAAATAAACTAAGTATATTAAATACAATTAGTTGATTGTAAACTGTATCGGAGTTAAAGTAACAGTAAATTAATTGTCTGGATGTCTAATAATAATTAGTCAATTGATGATAAATAAGATTAAACAATTAACTTGTTTATTTCTTGCCTTCTTCACGTGTTAATTAAATCTAATTAAATCTTGTCAGATTATCTTGAAAGTTACTTTTGAGATTTGTGGAAATGGAAAATATTTAATCACAATTAATGATTAATCAACATGAATCTGGATTATTGAATTGTATCATTTAGGCAACAATTAAATATTGTAATAAAATAAGAATCAGGATAAAATGGTGAATGAGATTAACGATAATCCTTGAAATTTATCAGAGAAACAAAGAAAATTATCAAAATAATAATAATAATAAGTAAAGATTAATTAAGATGATCAAGTAGATGAAAAAGTTATTGAGCTTCTATTAGTGATAATTGTTATGGCGTACATGTGATTGACAACAATTATCTGTTAATTGTAATTAGTAAAAAGCATCACAATCAAATATTAGATTAAAAAACAAAATGTCGAAACAAATCTGATTACATGAAACAAAGTGATTCCAATTGAGATCAATTAATCAACAAGTTAACCAGTTAATCAATGGTCAGAAAATATAATCAATTAATTAGTTGTAAATTTAAATTGCTCTTTACAATTAAAGACAAGTACAATGATTAATATCAATAATTATGACAAATTAGATGATGATAGTAAATTGTTAAGGAAGTGAAAAAATAAAATCTGACAAAATTATGAATTAAAAACCAAACCAAATGATTAACTAATCGTGATTAGTGATTGGTCTCTTGGTCAAGTGTCAATCATCAAAATGGTCAATCAAATACAATTGTCTTCAACTAATTGTCAAAAGTTAATTACAAGTCGATTATATTATTAGCATCATAATTATCTCAATGACTTTGAAAGGTTGAATGTTTCATGATAACAAATTTTCAGATAATCTCAATAAATGATCAATACATTTTAAGTATCATTAAAAAAAAACTTTAATCATTTGATTTGATTGTCATAACTACACACACATACACACACACACACCTACGTAATTAAATACTAATCACAATCAAATCATCGGTACGATGGTGATGATAATCAACATAATATCTTTGTTGCTGCGACTGTAATAACAAGACAAAAGCAAGAAAAATAAATCTCCAGGTAAAACCTTGGATAAGGTTGCAAAGTGTTTAGCATTTAATTTGTTGTTTTCTCAATTGTTTTAATTGGATTAGCGTGTAATCAACATTGATTGATTTGGAAAAGTGATTACAAAACGAACCCATTCAATTATAAACATTTAACTTTTTTATTTTTCTCTCAAAACTTAATCATCATCCTTTTTTTTCTGATCGTCATCATGATGGTAATAAACATCATCACCATCATCATAATCAACACAAAACCATCACCATCACTATCAACAACAACAACAACAACAATGATAACATCACCTTGAGATTCATGTTATTGAATAATCAGTTTGTTGTAACTCATTCAATTTGATATTGAATGTAAATTGCCTATTCTTTGGACTCATCAACACAGATACACACACACACTCACTCACTCATAGTAATTAGCTAATTGATTAATAATCAAATATCATGATGAATAAATGGTTGGCTTAATTTATTGATATGTATAATCATGTTAACTTATTTGAAGATTAATTGTTGTAATTAGTTGATGATGATGATATTTTTGTTCCTTTTTCCTATTGTTTTTGTTTTCTAATTTGCAACAATTTAAAACAAAAAAAACAAGAAAATGAAAAGAAAACAATGGACAAGGTCATTAAAAAGTTAATTACAATAATCAAAATTGTTTACAATTAAGGAACCAAAAAGGTAAAGTGAAAGTGTTACCTGTTTAAATGTTCATGTTTACAATCACACACACACATACAAAGATTATATTAAATTGAAGACAATTGTTAACTAATATCATCGCTAATCATGATTATGATGATGAAGAAAATGATCACCATGAGAAAATTGAAATTCTGTCTGTTTATATGAATCGTTCATACTTGACCTCCTTTCTGAGCCTTACAGTTTTTTCCCAGTCCCTTTTTTATTTATTTCTCCCTCTTCTCCCTCTTTTATCATCTCTCTCTCTCTCTCTCTCTCTGCCTTCATCAAATAATTCATCTTGTTGCCTTTTCGTTGATTACAATCATCTCCCTCTTTCTCTCTCATTATGATATCACCATCGCCATCATTATGTTTCACATTCATAATCATATAAGTGTCACATTGGATGATTGGTTAACATCAACACCAGGAACAATCAAAACAATAACTTTAAGATTAAATGTTTTACTTTTTCCACTGATAACAAACCTTCAATCAGTTTTAATTGTTTCATCTATTTGATTAACATGTATTATCTTGCTTCTTGATTACCATTTATCATCATCATCATCATCAACAGCAAAACCAGTAACTCGTCAGTAACATCATGGTAATCATCATGTTAATCATTTAAAACTGTGAAAAAAAAAGTTAAACGTTCAACCTTTTGTTTCTTGTATATCTGATAGATTTGATACTTTAAATCATTTCAACATATAATTAACTCAAAGTAAATACTTGATTATCATTAATTATTATCAACTAAATCAACTAGATTATGCTGCCATCTTTAATTTACTAGAATCATTTTCTATCAACAACAAAAACGATTCTCTCGTTAATAATAATACTTAACAATTAACAAGCTCAACAGTAAAACATTAAAACTGTTAATTGTATCTCAATGTGATTCGGATCATTTTTGTTTGTTAAATTGCTTCGCAATTGTGATGTACCATTAAATATACATTAACCTTAATTGTTACTCCTTCTCAATCTAGTCTTAATTTACTCTGTGATTAAATCATCCAATTATCAGAAATCAAGGTGAGTCGACCTGAGAGGTCACCTAAATGCTAATATTACATATTATGATATTTATTTCATTCAATACTTTTTCCGTTTTCATGATGATAATAAATCATTTCTTGATTGTTACTAACAATTAGCATGTACATACTATGTAAACAATTTACTGTTACTAGTTACCAACAATTAGCTAGCTGATTAACTTGAATTTGATCAGACTTATAATGAATATACTGTTTTTTTTTCATGAGTGTTAAATTGTTTGTTTACAGTTAATTGTTGATTATGAGAGAAACAAAAAGTTGATTAAAAACCAAAACACAAACAAAATTGACAGTTAACTTTAATTATTATCCATAAGATTATCACAACAACAAAAACAACTACAATTAGATTGTTGTAACTATCGAAGGTTAAAAAGGCAAGTTAGTTAATTTAGTTTAGCTTGATTATCTCGAGTAATCAAATGAATTAAGTCCCTGATAAATTGTCACAATTTCATGATTAAAACTTAAGATGTTGAATAAGAAAAAAAAAAGTTAAATGAATTAATATTAACAACGAAGAGAAAATAATTTAGTAATTATGTTTTTCCATTGGATTTGATTATTATCAAGGTAATAACAACAATCATAATAATAGTTAAGGTTAAGTTACTTTTCTCATTCTTCCTTAAACATTACTCGTTTTTCATGATAATATTTATCATGTTAATGCCAATTGAATATAAGGTATAACTTCATGGTCGACATTAATCACTCTAATTACATTAAATTGTATTAATGAAAACAGCAACAATTTGTTTACTTTAAATCACTAAAAGGTAACAGTTATTAAGATAATACAAATTACCACACTAATCATTGTGATCGGATTGTTTTTGTTTTCAATTTTCATTATTTTGTAATCAAATGAATGAAATCAATTGAATACATGAAATTGATTATCTAATAGTCAGATTGTAATTCAGTGAAGATATTGAAACAATTTAGTTGATTTGAATTATTATATCGGAATATTAGGTGAGAGATATTAATTTGTTTTTCTCTTCTTGTTATTGATGGAACATCAATGTTGATTTTTGAAAGAAGGAAAATAATAAAAAAGAAAGAAGGAAAAAATATTATCGAAATTCATGTTAATCATGATGAATGAATTAACTTGAAATCTTTTTTTCTTTTTTTTTCTCTCATTTTATCATCTCTTTTATTTCATTTCATCGACTATTAAATTCAATTTCATGGGATTATTAGAATTACGATAATTATGAGCGAATTTCAATGTTAACATGAAAACTCATAAGTCTCATGAAAGTTTTGCTTTTTATCATTTTGAGTTCCGTCATCATTACACTGACCTTTATCTCTCTCTCTCTCTCTCTCTCTCTCTCTCTCTCTCTCTCTCTCTCTCACTCACTCACTCTTTTTTTCCATAGTTTCTTATATCTAAACGATCATCATCCCGATTCGACTCCCTCACAATAATCTCTCTCATCTCTTCTCTTTCTCTCTCCTTATGGCTTGTCACTTTTCTTTTTGACGCACTTGCTCACTCAGAGAAGATGCTCACTATTTTCTCACCAACTCTCTCATCTCATTCTCTTCTTTCCTTTTCTCTTTCTACTCTTTCCTTTCTGTTCATCATCATCTCTCTGTTAATGCATTGATTGCATTTCAAACCATGAGCTCTCCCTCATCATGTTACGGTGACTCTTCTGTATTCATCTCAAAACTTTCATGTTATTCATTTCACTGAACTTTCTCTTAAACGATATCATAATAGAATACAAAATAAAACAAAGTTTACCTTTTGAAATTATCGTTAATTTACCTGAATCATCATTAAAAGTTCCTCTGCAAAAGACAATCGTCAATCATTTTATCAGTATTTCTTGTGATTCTGATATATTTTTTTTCTCCATGTGGAGATGATTGAAGAGGCCGCAAACACTAAATGTAATATCATCTGTTTACTTTGGCCTTAATTAAGATCTTCTCATCCTTATCATCATCTCTTCTCTCTTCTCTCTCTCATTCTCTTTCTTTCTCTATCATTTTCCTCAATTCGATTCTCATCTTTAATCTTTTCTCTTCCTTTTTCTTTTGCAGAATTAATTGTTCTCCTCTTAATCTCTCATTCTCTTCTCTGTTTAACCAACTTTTCGGTGTGAAAATCGATGTAATTTATTAACTGGATTAAAAATCAACAAGTTGATTCACAATCATCATCAATATTATCATACAGTTGATTTTGGCTTTGGTTTTCAAGTGAATACTACAAAGTGATTGTTTCAAGTGCACTTTTTGTTTTGTTTCCCGGAAGTATTAATTTTCCTTAAATGTGAATAATTGTTCATCGAATTGTTTATCATCACCAGGAAGCCAAAAATTTGAATATTGATCATCATTATCATGGGTTGTACACCAAGTAGCCGAAGGTCTCGAACAGAAACTGAACTTAAATACAGTTGTCCCAATGAAACATCAAATGAGGAAATTATTGGTAACAATCAAACTGATTCATCTAATTGTTCACAGAAAAATTCTGAAGGGAAACCATTTCTTCCTATGACTTATTATGATAACAATAAGGACTTAAATTGTAAGGACTTATCGGTGAGTCTTCCTCTTCATTTTTTTCTCTCTCTCCATCTTCTTTCCCTCATCCTCATCATCTTCATCCCTGTACATTGATCTTGATTCCATTCACCATGTTACTCAATAATAATCATAGAAAAAAATCTCTTAGTTTCCACCGAAAGTTTTTTTAACTTTTATCAAATTAAACATCATTTTTTTCATCATCATCATCATTTATTCCCAATGACGATAATGATTAACTCTCTCTCTCTCTCTCTCTCTCTCGCACTTAAAAGTTCTGACGTTCTTGTATACCAATTACCATGGTGACAATAATATTACCGCCAACAAGAATTGAATGAGATAAAAATATGATAGTAACTCTATTGTTTCAAGTATTTGAAGTATATAAAAGAATAAGAAAAAAAAACAATTTCAACTAAATGACTTTCAGTTAATCAGATAAATTGATTTTCACCCAGAATAATAACTTTTTTTTCTTGTTCTTCTTATATATTAAATATAATAGGCTGTTAAAGTAACATCATCATCATCTTACCTGAAATAACTTGAATTCAATGATAAAATACTACTAATAATAATCTAAAATTGGAATATTAAATTACCTTTTTATTTCATTTTCCATTCTTATTTTAATACTTTAAACAAAATCGTTTCCATGGTTACGTTCTGAGTTTTTCCCCTTAATTCCGATGAGTTTTTTGCTTGTTGATTGTTAAACTTTAACTTGACAATAATTCACATTCAATTAATATTAAATGGGTAACAATTTGCGAAACTTTTATTTGCAAGTACACAAGATGAACAGTTCAACTAATTGGAAATAATTAGTTGATTGTTTCAAGTTTTATCTATTACATTTAGAACTAGAATATTACTTTGATTAACCTTTACGATTAGAACAATTAATTAAACTCACAATTAGAAGCTTTTGTCTATTTCCTTACTTCAGAATGTAATCAATACGATTCTCTTTTTTTTTCTCTTCTTTTTCTTCAGAGTTAAGTCTAGACTTGGGAATGATTTTCGATTATCAGATTAATCAGAAAATCAGAGAATTAAGAAGATTAGAAAAATTCAACTTGAATGATTTTCTCATTGATATAATATGGAGAAAAGAAAATGATATTTTCCATTATTATCATATTTCTATTAACTTTTAGATTTGATTTACTTCGATAACTGAATAATATTTTTCTTCCGATTAATCTTGATCCATTTATCGATTATCATCTTGATACTTTCAATCACCTTTTCTTTTTTTTATATATATGGAAAAATAAGAAATAAGATGATGATAATCAGCTGATTGAAAATTTCTCTCTTTCTTTTTCTTATCCTGGAAAAATGAATTGATATTTTTCTTGGAATGAATAATAATCTGATCATTGAAGTGAATCAAGTTGATTAAATTTTCCAACTAATTTTGTGTTTTTCTAACACACACAAAGTAAATTGATCATGAAAGGTTATCATTGATTAGCTTTTAGACTCTGGAATCAGTTGAAAAGTTAATTGAAAATGTAAATGAGGTGAATAAATAATTAAAAATAGTAGATTAATCATCATCATCATCTATTGATGAAAATCATCATGAAACTTTGAGTACAAGCCCATGTTTTTTTTCTGAATACATTCCAGTTTCAAGAATATCAGAAGAAAGAAAAACTTTCAGATTAATCTGTTAACCAGAAAAAGAGAAACTTGGAAAATTTTTCTAAATCAACTAAATCATTTTCTTTGATCATGATTAACTGATTAATGCGAAAATTTCTCATATCTTATAAATCATCATAAATGAACTGATTCATTTTCCACCAAAATATCAACATAATTAATAATTAGATCAATTATTTCTCTCTCTCTCTCTCTACTCTTTGTCAACAATTTCTGCTTCAATCTTAATGTAATTAACTATCAGATTTGATGAAATTGTTTTCCAATCAAAGATACTCTTGATTTTTATATTGACATTATTTCATAATAATCAATGGCAATTAACTAATTGACTGATTAATACTAATAATCCACACGGATTTGATTTAGTTTATTAATGAATCTGATTATAATGATGATAATTTACTCAATTGATTCTCTTTTTTATTATTATCAGTCATTTGTAGATTATTATTATTATATCAAGAATTGAGAGAGAAAGAGATTAATTCAGAACTTTTTCTTTTCTTCTTCTTTTATTAAAAGAAATATGATTCAAATTAAGCTAATATATGATGAATTTACCATGAAACTGATCATGATAATATCCATTGTAATCGGATCATTAAGAAGAGAAAAATACGAAAAAAAATAATTCTTCCAATATTCATTCATATACATGAACCATAATGTATCTCCGACTCATCATCAACCTGAATTCTGGGAAAACTTTTCAATTTTCCCTGATGATGATAATAAATTGTATCGTTTTTCATCATCATCACCTTAATATCTGTTATCAAATGACATTTTCCTTTCCATAAACAAAGAACCAAAAAAAAGGATAACATTACATTGAAATTTTGACGAGGATTAATAAACTAATAGCAATTCTAATGGTTTACCAAAGGGATATTAGATTAGCTGAATACTTTTCTCCCAATGGAAATGATGAGCTAGAAAAACATTCTGATCAGTTAATTTGAATACTAATATTATCATTTTCAATATAATATAAATTGTCATTCAATTCACTAATGAATTTCACAATTTCGCAAAAAAATATTTACCATGAAAAAGTTGAAATCCTTAAGCCGATTAGAGGATAATCCTTATTCAATGGTAATCTTATACTATTATCATGAAACTATTGTTACTCAAAAATAAAAAACAATCATATTAATATAAATATAACCAAGAGAAACCTTCTACTCATAGTTTATTAGTTAATTAGTCCACTGATAATTAAAGATACATGAACACAATTAGCACATGTAACCTTAATATTGATAATATGATATGTAAATTATTTGCTAATATATTATATTCATTATCTGGTTGGTTATTAATATTTAGCTCATCCAATAATCTTTGACAATTAACTAATAGAAAAGTAAATTATATGTATTGAATTATGATTATTCCTGGGGAGGGATAATCATCATGTAATAGATTGGATTTGATTGAATTTTCTTGTGAATTTACTAATTGTATTGATGACAATTAACTGATTTCCAACTAAATCAATATAAAAGCAAAGAATCAAGGACAAAGTTTATACTTACTATTAGTTAATTGTTAGTGTTTTTTTTTACTCTACTATTTTGTTTTTAGATTAATTGAATAATTTACTATCATATTAACAATTAAAGCTGAAAATTTGTATGAATTAACAAATGTTAATTAACCTTTTTCTATCAGGTAGAAATGTGATTAAATAGATTAACCCAATAATGATACAATTAACAATTAAGGTAAATAAAAGTATCACATTATCAGAGTTTCCATTTTTGCTTTTTAAATTGTTTGGCTTTCATGGTGAACAATTAACTTAATTTTGTTGATATAATCGGCTTGCTTGTGTTTATTTTAATCACTGGATTGATTGTCATTTAGATTGTCAATTGTCTTGAAAATATAATCTGACGTTGATTATGTTTTAAATTAATTGTCATGATGTTGATGAATCTCTAATACCAATACAAAGCTCATCATGATCATCGTCAAGTTTAATTCATGATGGTTATCATGATTGTCCCGTTGTAATAATAATAATAATAATAATAACATTAAGATGATAAATAATGAACGAGAAAAAAAAGTTTACTGTCAAAACAATTAACTAATTAGGTGTTTATTAGGTATTTAATTGGTTGAGATTAATTTCTTATCATGAGATGAGTTGATAAAAGCCATGAGCCATTGGATTAGTTGAAAAAGATTCTGGTGTTTGAGTATTAATATTAAAATATGAGATATTTATTGCAACAATTAAGAAATGGATTAAGTGACTCACTCTTTACTATTGATAATTAGCTGAAGATATTAATTTGTTGTTGATGATGATGATGATGATGATGATGATGCTGAAATTAAAGGAGGATGTTGTTGATTTGTTATTATTTTATTATTATTGAAGGTAAAATGATGATAAACAAAAGTAAAGAGGAGTTAGATAGAGAGTGAGAAAAGATAATGTTACAAGGGTGAGAGAGAAAAAGGTGAGCAGAAAAAGTGAGAAAATAAGAAGGATAAAAGAAGATGTAAAAAGGAAAATAAGTGAAAGAAAGAGGATAGAAAGAGGAACAATTAAGGAGAAATTAATTGTCGATTGTTTAATGATAAATAGACAGAGAACTGGTAAGATGAAGAGGAAGAAAAATATCCAATGCAATCCAATGTAATTAAATAATAAAGATGTTGAGGTTGATGTTGTTGTTGGTGATGAGGATGAATATGAAGATGATGAGGATAATGATGCTGAGGATGATGATGATGATGATGATGATGATTTAGGATTAATTGATCTCAATTCAAACCAATAAACCAACGATATCATTGTTATTATCATTGAATAAACAATTGTGGTAACTGAAGATACTTTTGTTGATAATGTTGTTAAATTGTTCACTTGTGATGATAAATTATCATGATGATTAATTAGATGATTGAGAAAATTAATAAATGAAATGAATGTGAAAAAAAATGAATTAATCTGATCAGTTGATATTAATGAAATAAAACCAATACAAATATAAATCAATGTCAAGGTTAATTTAAATTTAAATAATTCACTTTCATGATTGATAATCAATTGATCACTAATCACTTTATCATTTATAATTTGTTGATCGTTGATTGTTGTTAAATTGTAAGCTGATTGTAATAATATTGAACGTCCAACTTGATTAATTAGAAAAAAGTTAATTAAATCTACAATTAATAGAAAACAATTGAAAATCAAATTAAATGAGAGTATAAATTGTAACAATTTAAGATTTTTTCTCCTCGAGTTGAGTTTTTCTCGAGTTGATGTAATTGATTCAATTAAATCCATTAATCCGCAAAAGTTAAACTAATTAATTAGTAATAGTAATTAACTAAATGAAGAAAAACACTTAGAGAAAACTAATTAATAACTGAATGTTTTTACTTAATTGTTGTGTCTTTTTAGCATGTTGATTCATTTCATATTGATCTTTAATCTGGTAATCATTTAAAACAATTACAGTTAAATTATTAATTGTTATCATCTTGAGGTTCCAATCACGATCATTTTGGCTGACAATTAGATCCATTGTTAGTTAATTAATCATCAATCCATTTGCTTACAATTTTACCTTGCAATTTGCTCCCCTGTATCAGTGACAATTGCCAATTAATTGTTATTAAATGATAATCGATCAATAATTATTCAGAAATCATAATAATTACTTTTCTATGAGTAAACTGGTAACCAAAGGTGAAACTGATTCCATGATATTACATGAGATTAATTGAATAACTTTTTTCCGAAGAAAAGTTTTAAAATTGTTACGATGAACAAAGTAATAACTATTCAGATACAGAAATGAACATTTTATTGATCAGGAAACACTGAATTTCTTGGTATTGGTTTTTGTTTCTCTCCATGTGAATGACCTTCAACTGGACATTCGAAATGAATTATTCTGAAATTTCACTGGAATAAAACTTTCTAATATTCTATTAGATGATAATCATGTTTTTTTACCTTTTTCAGAGAACATGATGTTTTAATAATCGATGAATTTTCATATTTTTTTGTTCACATTTTAAACTTTTGATAATTTGATGATTTTATTTTAGCTCCATTCACTTCCATGATAATTATCATTTTGAACAATTGATGGGGATAAATTTTGATTCAATATATTCAGACCATGATTTGTTTTCTTCATGATGATATCTCTCAAACCTTGAGTAACTTGTCAACCAATAACAATGTTATTTTCTGTGTATCATCATTAATTCATTCCCATAGATGAATGAGAAAAAAAAAGTGAAGCAGAAGAAAAAAAATTGTTACAACTGATTAAAACTTTTCTCATGTAAATACACCACCGAGTGTGAATCAATATACATCACCAGGTAAACCTCAGTTCTCAGCGATGGTAGAGAGGAAAAAAATACAATACAAACAATTTAAGTTCAATTTGATTTGATACACAACAAGAATCAGAGAGAGAGAGAGACAGAGAGTAAATTCTGTTTAGCAAGAAAATAGCATTTACATGATGTTTTTTTTTCTTCCATCATCATGATCAGAATCGTGATGATGATGAACTAGAATGAAATTTGCTGAGACTATCAATCATGTTGTTGTTGTTGCTCTAGTTGAATGAGAGACTATTGTTTTTTTTTGAAAAAACTTTTAACTCATCAAATGAATTTGTTTTTACCTTGAAAAAAAAAAGTTCTGAACTTATCATGAAACCTTTTCCTTTCCTTTCCCCTTCTCTCTGTTCCCATGTTAATATTAGATTCACAATAATAGTCATATCAAATTGTTTCATTCTGAAGCCTTTAACATGATCATTATCATGGTTATTACTTGTTAATATTTGTAGTTGATTATTATTACAACTATTTTCATATAAACATTACGATATAATAATAATTACTAACGAGATAATAAGTCAACAAACCATTTTTGAGAACTGAATTTACATGAATTCTGATGATTGAATAATTATTATTATCAATTGAAAACAATTAACAACAAATGAATGATCGTTAATTTAAAATTCAACAATTAAACAAGTTTGATAAACACTTTTTGAAACCTTTTTGACAATCAATTTACATTTTGAGCAATTTATCAAATTGTCAAGAGATGAAAAAAAAAGTTCATTCAAAAGTAACTCTGATAATTTAAATTAATTCAGATGGAGACAAAATTTTCTCATCAATTATCCAACTTGACTCTTGCATTGATTAACTTGATTACTATTATGATTCAATTTAATAGTAACAATTGAGTAATTGCTACTATCTTGAACTTTTGGAATCTATTAAATGCAATTAAACTTTTCATTTATATAATAATAATAATATTTTTAATCTTCTTCTCTACACTCGAAGCAATTAACTAATTGCAGAGTATAATTGTTAATAGATTTCTCCTTTTTTTCTCTCTAAATCATTTTGATTGTTGATTATCTTCTTGGTTATTAGATTAATCAACTTAGAGTTTACTCAACTCTCAGCTAATCTGTTGGGTGAAAATACTATTGAACAAAATGATGACAGTGAATTTAGGTCAACTACAATTAAGATAATTCAGAACTTTTTTGCTTCATCTATTTCTTGTATCTTTTTTTTTCTGTCTTTGAGCTTGAACTTTTTCCAGAATTTAAATTCAGCTTATGATAAACTGGTATAATAATCTCTTGTATTTCTCTCTCGCTCTCTCGAATGTATTTTATCCTGGATTCTTACAATTTTCCATGTGAGAAAATTCAGTAAAAAAAGAAATAGGAAAACAAATCATCTTGAAGTTTTCTGAAGATCCATGAAGAGAGACCATGATTATCGTATAATATATGGTGAAAGAATATGATAATAAAAGTTTCTCAACCTTAAGACAATAAGTTTCGACATGATAATACACAAAATCTATCATGGTAATCTATCAAATTCTCGTACGAATGTCCAGTTATTCATGTTTAATATAATTCACTCATGATACAGTTTCTCTCTCTCTCTCTCTCTCTCTCTCTCTCTTGGTCATGAATTCATGCGATAGGCAAGTAAAAAAACAGAAATGATTGAATAAATGGTGAACATATTGAATGAATATTAAATAGGCAAACAAAAGGGTCTTCAGGAAATAATAAGAAAAAAATTATTAACGTAACCATATTTACTTTTGACCTTTTTCATGATGATTCTGATGATGAACATGGTGGTGTTCAAGGAAAGTGTAGGCAACTATCACATTTAATATAATTCATTTGATTGCTTATTGATTGCACACTGATTATGATTACAAGGCAAAATAAAAAACAATGTGACTATTCATTGAGATAAAAAGTTAATCAAGAAAAAAAATGAATGAAAAAATTCAACAAACAATTAGAGTATCACTATTATGAATCACGTAGTCATCACAACACTGGATAAGTTTGATTATCATGAATGAAAACCGTTCACTCAAATAAAATTACAAACTCGCAATTAGGACAAGATAAATTTAAGAAATGATTTAAATCATCCTAAGGGATTGAAGTTTATAATCCCCTGGTTCCGTGATTATCCATATCCTCTCAACAATCTTTTACTAATTACTAATTATCGAATCTCATTAAGTAATTAATTATCTTTTCTCTTTCTTTCCCAGCCAAAAAGCAAAGATAATAATACGCTCAAATTAGGATCAATGTGCCTTTCGATGCCTCAATTAAAGGTAAGAATTGGTTAATCATGTTTCAATGTATTTCTATCAAACTTGTCAACTTTTCCTACATCTTTTCCTTTTCCTTTTTCCTCTTCATCTTCATCATCACATCTTTAACTCATTTTTCATCATCATTTATGGATCATTTCTCCCATTTATGAGTTTTTTCAACTTCATCTATTCTAATAAGGTAGAGAGAGAGAGAGAGAGAGAGAGAGAAAAACTGCTCGAAGTACCAAGAATGATGAATATCACCCTAAACATGAACAAGAACTTTATATTAAACAGAATAGCAAAAAGAAACGACATATTCAGGATCAGACAATGAAACTTAGTTCCTAAGTTGATTCACATTGAAAAATGAAATCAGAATCTTTATTATCTTCATGGTTCTGTCATGATATTGATCGCATTTTTTTGTTCATGTTTATCTCTGAAATCAGTATGAATATGTGTTGTCGAAGATCCAATAACCATGTAAATAAAATGTTATAACAAGAAAGAGAGAGAAAGAGAGAGAGAGAGATGAAGACGAATGGCAATCTAATCAGAATTTCATCTTTCTCTCAGAACATTCAGATAATCTAATATGCCAAGAATTGTGATTTACATCAGAACAGAACATGAAGCAAAGATGAGAACGATTGAAACATAATAAACTTGATTTTCGGTGAAAATTTGACTTGACTATTGACGTTTAACTCTTGAAGATGTTTATACACATAATATATGAGTAAATTTTCATGTTCCCTGTTTAATTGGAAGAGGTAAAAATGAAGAAAATATCATATTATATTTAGAGATTTAAGATTTTGATGATTTAGGATTAGCTGAACATGGAGATTGCTTTTCATCATCATCAACATTGACAAGCATTTCTCTTGGTTCTTTGTTTACTTTAAAATTTTCTGTTTAATCAGCAAGAAAATAACTGAGGTCAACAGATAATGAAATGTTTATAAAAGTCTTAAAACCATCAAGAGGTTTGAGGTTTTTCAGGAACAATTTGACATTAATTATACCCTCAGGGTGAATCTAAATTAGCTCCATGTTACTCTTTCATCATCAATTTTCATTACTTTTCTCTCTGACTTTGTTGACACTCGTTCCATTATTTTTTTATAATCGTATATTGGATTCAATTTAATTCACCAGTTTTCTTAATATTACATTTATGTAATTTTCTTGGTGACAAATTGTAACTTTATTCACTTACACTCTTACTACAAAGTTCCAATTACATGTTAACTTTTGATTGTTCAACTGAGTCAAGATTCTGAGGGTTTTCATTAGTATTTCATTGATTGGAAATACTTGGATGACAGGATAAAAATATTCTAAGGAAATATTGATAAGAACCGTTATTATTACGACGAAAATGAAACAGAATTTTATTCTGTATTCTAGTCAGATTATCTCAATACAACTTAGAAAGGTTAATGAGAGTAATCAGTTCGTGCATAAGAATCGTAACTCTGAATCTTTTGTTGACCTTTTGGAGGAAAATTTCGAGAAAATTGTTGAAATTTACCTCCACCGATCAATAGAATGGCCTTAAATGGTATTCGAGGTTGTAGATTCTTTGAAATTTCTGTTATCATTACTACATGAAAGTAAATTCCATGAGAGAAAAGGAATATGTTGATTAATAACGTTGAATATATTTGAATATAAATACAAGCAAATAGCTAATCAATCTTAATTAAACAATCCAACAATTTAATGAATCTATTTCTATTTCCATAATAATCAACAACAGCAATAGAACATCATTATTCATGGTTAACCTTTTCTTTTCACCCAAAGACAGAATTAACCTGAACAGGAATGATTGATTAATCTGGTTGGAGTAAAAGTTGTTGTAACTGTTTAAAAATCCATCAGGTTAACATTTGGTCAGCTCTGAGATAATGGTCATCATATTGAAAAGTGTGACAATTTTCATTTCTAGACAACAAACTGGTCAACAGTTTTGTAATCAACCTGATAAATTGTCATTGAAAACTCAAATAGCCATTGAATGTTAGTATAATATATAAATCAAAAAAAATTTTATCCAGAATCGGTCAAGTAAAATGTTATGAGATTATTAATATTATTTGAACAATTTCTAGCTCAATGAGCTGAAAATTATCAAAAAAATAAATTTTTTCTTCTTCCTCTTTTTCCATATCATGATTATCATTTATACATATATATTAATACCCTGATGATGATTAATATTTGTCTAAATATTTACTCAATCTCTTTTACCTTATTATTGATGATGAACAAAATGTTGATTAAAATATTGCTTGTGAATCATGAATAATATTATGATATGAAATACCTTGAATTGCTGATAATGATTATCCTGAAATTAGGTGATCAATCATTCAATATTATCGATATATATCGTAACATGGTATCAATTTTTCAAATTGCAGTTTTTCTGATTCTCACTGAACTTTTCTCGTTGTGACATGAATCTCAATATCAATGAGTATCAATCATATTCATGAACCTAAAGTTTTATTAAATAATCAACTGAATTTCATTGATTGATGTACTTTCTCAATGCTACTGAATCAGTTTGCTTTTTTTCCTAATGAACTTTCATCTCAGAACTGAATAGGTCTCAGATTTAGGGGAAAAAGAGACTGAAAAAACTCACCAACGTGATAATGGTAATAAGAGAGCGATCAACATGATCTCTAAGCTTATACAATATTGTAAGCTTCGTATATGCAGTGCTAAGCCCGGCCATTTGCGCACTTAACCTCAGGAATGCTTTTCTGGTTCTCATACGATCGTATGTTGCAGACCAGGTCGTTATTGTTGACGTTTACGTGGTTATTTCTCTCTCTATTAAAATCATTTTTACAACAATGCAACTGTTAAACAATACTATTAATAATATTTGAAGGATACGAAAAGAAGCAAAAGTCACAAGAAAGAGAAAATTTACAAAAACCGCCCTTCTGACCTCGACCTTCACAGCAGTGCTTCTATTTTTTGTTTGTGCGGAATTTGAAACCCTTTCGCATGAGGGTCTTGTTGTCTCTGTAGCACTCCAGGTTCTTTCACAACGTTTGCATCAAAAAATGTGAATCGTAATGATTGGGTGATTGAACATAACCGCACTAACCAACCTGATCTGAAGAACCATTTTTTCAAAAACATTCCAATAAGTATGCGGTCAAATGCCAAATCTAAAGAACCATTTTTTCATTTAAAAAAGATACAATATTGTTAGCTTTGTATATGCAGTGCTTAGTCCTGCCATTTGCTTACTTAACAGTTACTTTTGCGGTTCTCATCCGATTGTATGTTGCAGATCAGGTCGTTTTTGTGGACAAGAAAGAGAAAAAAAGAGAGTTTCAAAAACTGCACTCATTACCCTCGACCTTCACAACAGTGGTTCTATTTTTTTGTTTGTCCGGAATTTGAAAAGCTTCCGCATGAGGGTCTTGGTGTCTCTGTAGCACTTGAAGTTCTGGATCAACGTTTGCATCAAAAAATGTGAATCGTAATAATTGGGTGATTAGTTTAATTGCCATTGTGGTGATTGAGATAACAATTAACTTAGATCGTTTTTAATCTTGAATGAAAGATTTAGCCGTTTATTTTTTACCATGAGGTTCATGATCATGAAAGTTACACAATTTCTGAATCAGAATTTTAGACCAAAAGAAAGAGAAAAATTAGAAAAATCCTCAGGGGATTTATGGAAGATATTAAATCTGATTCATTTTTCTTTTACTTTTTTTAATCGAATATTTTTTCATCCGATTTTGTTGCATTCTAATTTTGAATATTCTTTGTATTCATCATGAAAATGAATAAAGAATAAAATCTTTTCTATTAATGTTTATCTTTTCGCAATATGATCTCATATCTCACATGGAACTTTTTTTCAAGGGTTTTATCATCTTCTCCATGGGATTGTGATAAATCAATTTGAATAATACAAATTCAGTTTTACCTTTTGTACGATGATTGGAAATGAAAGCTCAGTTTTTTTCGATAAATTTCATTACCTGTTATATTATTTACCTTTTTTTCTGTGCATAAAATATATATGATTAAGCTAATTCCATGAATTGATTCTGATAAAAGAAAAGAAAAAAACTCAGAACAAGAAAATTCCATTATAACGAAAGAGAAAAGAATCAAAGTTTGATGTCAAACGAAGATCTTGATGTATTTACATGAACAAGAAGAGAATTCGTTGAAGAAATAATATTATTCGAATTGAAAAGTTTCGACTAGAGACAATTTCTCTATCTACCTGTATAAATGCTAGAAAGTGATTCTATTGTCTGGAAAACTAAATGAGAAACAGTTACCCTGAATTTCATGTGATTATATGATTAAATTTAATGATGATCATGTATCAAGAGATTGTCTTGAAGATGAAGAATCAATAATCGATTGGAAATATTATTGTGACAATTTATTTGGAAAAGAAAAAAGAAAATAAATCATCGACAATCTAAAAAAAGTGTTAACAATTTGATACAATTGACTTGACATGAATGCCGATAATCTGAACTGAATGTTAATCTAATAGATTCTAGAAATAAATATACATAATATTAGTCGATTAATCAAAATGGAATCGCAAGTATTGACCATTGTGTCTGTCAAAGTGAATGTTGAATATTTTTATCCAGATAAATTCCCATATATTATCATAATAATATTAAAGGGTAATTACTAACTATTAACATTCTCGTTGATCAAACCAAAAATTTGAATTATAAATGAGATTATTTTACTTGGATAAACTTGTTGTTGGGTTTATCAGCATATGAAATTCACTGAACCTGAATAACGATCAAAACTTTGAAATATTATATTTACAAATTGGATTCGGGAAAATTGTTCAAAATTAAGCTTAATCCTCGTTGCTTTTTTGATAATCTTTCATTTATTACAATGATAATATGATATCAACTCTACTCTAACTTTCAAGGTTAAAAGGATAATAATAAGATGAATAGATAATCGGATCTTAAGTAATAATC